TTATTTCCCAGTACCTTCAAATTCAGTTAATTTTCTATGCTTTATGAACAGAAGATCGTAACTTTTTAGTGGGACATATGTTATCAGGAACTCTTTGAGAAGTGTTTATCTGTTTCATTTTATGTAATGCCATTACAAAATGCTTACATTGAGAAGAATTCAGAAACTATAACTAGTTAGCCATCATTTGATTTGGAAATATTTGTTGCTCTGCAAGTAGTCATGGCTATAACTATCCAAAAGCAAAAAAATCATCAAACTGCCGAATACTTGTACCCTACCATCTTGAAAAACTTTCCTGAAAGGCAGACTTATGACCCTCTGATCATTCTGTTGCTGCTCCTGATGTTACAAGCCTTCTTGCCCAGCCAAGTCCAGATCTTAGTCAAACAGAACCTTGGCTGCAGCAGTGGTGCCAGGATCAGACAAAGGCTTCCACAGCTGCTCAGCTTTGAGGAGGCAACTAATCAAGTGGGCATGTATCACTTCAAGCCACATCTGTCCCAAGTCATTGAAAAGGGCTTTAATGGACCCAAAAAATTCCCAGTACTCCATGTCTAGATATTTATACCCTTATGAATGATTTCTTTCCTCTCTCTGAAAGACTCAAAGACCCTTTGAGCTCCATTATGGTCACCGCTTCACTACAGTTAATTTCATCATGAGCAGGGAATAAATAAAACAGCCTTTGATTAAAGAAACTGATAATTCAGTATTAATCACTGCAAATTCCCACCACAAATACAGTGCCTAGGGAAAGAGCAAGACGCAATCTGAATGCAAAAAAGTTCTTGCTTAAGGATGTACAGGAAACAAAGTTAAGAACTGAAACAAGGATAGAAAATAGTTAATACAAATATTCCTGCCAAATGTTTACTTTTCTAAATCAATCTTTAGACACTTGTATACTGCCTCATAAGCCATTTTATTGAGTCTTTTTTTGCTCACATGAGGTAAAACTTTGCCCTACAGCTATGCAAAATGTTTACTTTGTTGAAGAGATGCAGTCTCAGGAAAGGGGAGAACAGGAAGAGACTGATTCATGGTGCTGATCATTGAAATTATTATCATCAGCAGCATTACACACAGGAGGGTGTTTCATTGCTATAGTCTGTTGTTTCTCCAGCATATTTCAGATCCGGAAATTTTCTTTGAAGAAACATTTCAATCAAGAGTAGAGCCTTGACCTTTCATGGGTTGATCAGTGATCACATATTTGTAAAAGCAAGCCATATGCAGACTAAAAGTAGTGAAATCAAGTACTCAAGATGCACACAGGGAATCTGACACTTTGTAAGGTGGATTTAATCAGCAGGAAAATTGCCTCATGTATCTGCTTTTTCTGAAAGAAATCACAGATTCAAAAAGTAAAATTACTTTGTTTCTCTGAAGCTCTCTGAGTTCATGTCAAAGGTCAGAAGCTGAGTTTCAGTGCACAAGTATCTTCTAGGAGCAATGCTGGGCATCATGTCCTGCAGTGGTGCTGAATACTGCTGGTGAGCAGAGGGGTACATCCCTTAGTCACAGGTGTAACTTTGCCTTCTTGCTGGACAGCCTTTCACCCCTTCTGCCTCCATCTTGGGTTTCTGGGTGAGTGATGCAGGGTTGGCTATCAGGAACTGTCAAGGAGTTTGAGGAAGTTTATCTGTCCGCTTTCTTGTCAGACACATCTTGGCACATGAGGCAAAATGTGTAACAGTGTGTGGCTGTCTGGCAGATGCTCGAACTTTCCAGGCAGAGTGCCCGAGCTCAGCTATTGTTGGAAGTGCTTTCATGTGAACAAAAAAAAAGCAAGCCTGAGAAGGTCGCAAGCAGTTACTCAGATAAACTTTTCTTGCACCTTTTGTCCCTTAGAAGGAAGTGGCTGGCTGTAGCAAAGCCTGCCCTTTCCACAGTTTCTTGCAAGGCTAGGATGCTGTTCTCCTTTGAATAGACCCTGAAGACACTTAGCCATGCAATATCAAATCCACTGAAAAAAGCAGTGCAAACTAATTTATTCAGTTCTGGTACTGAATCACCAACTCAGTGAAAAACCAGAAGATTTCTTAAAGATAAACTTCTGCAGTTGATGGTGCTATGGATATTTGTTAAATATTTCATTCACAGAAAATTATTGTCCTTTCAAAATCAAACAAAAAAAAAACAAACAAAAAACCAGCCAAACAAGCAAATAGGCAAGAAACTTAGCACTCATCTCTTTGTTGAATATGTCAGAAAAAATTAAGGTATTCACCAAAAAATACATGGTGGTCATTTATGTTAGACTAGCTTTACTAGTTACTGTGATTCTATTTAGAGTAACGTATTCCTTGACCAAATTGGTCTCCCGTCTCTTTCAGTATTCTCATTTTCTTGATTTTTTCTTGGCTTCAGTTTGAAAATTGTTTGTAGATTCTTAATTGCAAAGCCTACCAGAGGGAGAGATCAGAGGAACACAGGATTTGCCAAATATGATAAATGTCCTGCCTCAGGGAATGGCTAACACCTGATTTGTCAGAGGAAGGCCAAAAAGCCTCTAAACACATTCAGTCAGTCATGTAAGAGATCCCAACAGACAAATGCCTGGAAGCCTAGCTCTAAGTACATGACCTTACTTGAGCACAATTCTACAAATGTTATCACACCCCTGCACTCTCTCCTATCATCCTTTTCCCACCAGTCAAATGTATTCTTTTCTATGTAGACAAGTGAGAAGTGTGAAGCTCAGACTTCATCTACCTTAGGACCTGATCCAAATGTCACAGTAGAAGAGTAGGATTTCTTTTGCAGCAAATGAAGATGGATGTGCTCTGCCCTCTTTACTGAGCTGAGCAGAACTCCACTGAGGCATGGAGATCAGTCTGCTCTGGCAACTGTGCCCTCTGTCAAGGTGAGACAGCATTCTTCCCTTCAGCTTCTCACCTAAGTCATTATTTATATTTACACAGTAGTACACAATTGCATAGCCCACAATGTACCGCACTTCCTACCAACCCCACCAATCTCTTGTGTGTTCATTGTCAAAATATCTCTACCTTTGCTGTTGCTACAGACTGATGTCTTGCTGATGTATTAAAACACTGTGTGACCCAGTTCCTCACATTTTTCCTCCATCTCGAAAGTGGAGCTAGTAATATCTTCATCAGAATCTTGTTATGCATTTTAATTGTTTAATATCTGAGAAATGCATTAGATTTCTGGAGTTCAAAAAGTATGACAAACTTCATTTTAGTTATATGGTATTGATGCTGAACTCTGAATTCAATGATATTCTCGTAACTGCCTCAGTCATATTAGTTTGGAAGCCAAAGACCTGGAGTACAAGCCTAGGAAAACCCCTTTTCCTCTCTGGTGCACTGTTTATATAATGAGTAATAACTTCTGTGGTCTGGCTGGAAGAAATTAAGAAGGCAGTAAAAATGTCAAACAAAGTTGTAATGAATTTAGAAATAATCACTCATAATTTAGAGTTCATCATCCCAAAGCGTTATTTCTTCATTTGATAGGTTTAGGTCATTATAAAGAATGTGCTCCTTCTTGCATCTGAAACTGCATAAAAAGGGACAGTAGTTTATGGCTGCTATATACTTGATGAGATATTAAAATTTTGCAGCACAGCAAAAGATGGAGGAAGGGGGTGAGGGAAATAACCATTTGAAGGTTGTATTTCCCTTGGGCTTTTGTGGTCTTTGTTTGGAGTAAGCATGAGTGTTTTCCTTTTTTTTTTTTTTTTTTTACTTTTAAAAATTTTAATAGCTTGCTTTATGTGCCTGTGTGTGTTTTGTAACATAATTAACTTAGAGAATGTTATGGAAGATGCAGTGAAATGATTTTTAAACTTCAATTCACATAGACCTCTGTGTGAGTCACTAACAAGGGAAGGGATACACTATGCATCTTCTCATAGATTTAGTATGAGAATAAGGACTGCAGAAGTCAGCCCTTCCCTTAATTTGCTTTTTTTGTCTCCTATCTCTTTTCCACCAAAGTAAATCTTTCCCTTCTACCCTTCTCTGCTCTTCCACAATTCTTTCTCTTTGCTAATTCTGAGGGCATGTTTCAGCATTCACAAATTTTAAATATTGTGTCAAACAGAACAAAAACAAACTCTTCTGACCCAGCAGGAAACATGTTTTTCAGCTAATCATATATTGTTAATGTCATTCAGGTGCTTCCATTAATATGTAGCTGCCAAGTGTGCTGTTTCTGGCACAATTACATAGAGCAATAGTGTCAGGAATGATTATTAGGTTTCTTTTAGTTTAAAATGTTTGTCTGACACAAGTATTTTGTCACTTTGTAGTTGGCGTATATTTTTGGAATTAACTGGATTTTATCTGCTGGAAGATAATGACATTCTTTAAATTTTAGTTACTCTACGTCCATGAGTTTTGTCTACCCCTCCCCACTCCTGCCCCACCTTAATGAGTCTTCCACTGATGTAGTCTCCATCAGTGTCTCTTTAGGAAGGCTGTGAACTGATGCAAACTTGTTTTATGGAAACTTCTTGCAGATATTGAATGGAAGTCATGAAAAATACATGTGCAAAATCTTGTGATTCTGTTGCATTCTACAGACTGAACCTTCAGTGACTCTTGGAAGAGTAGCTTCTTTTATTGAGGCTTTAGGGCAAGTTCCCACATGGGCAATCCATTTAACTCCATGAGCTAGTTATGAACTTGGGAAAGATTTGTTTAAGTTTTGCTTTTGAAAAGTTCTGATTGTTAAGCATAATAAAATACAGATGAACCTGTGCAAAGCAATTCTCTTGCATGATTATCAGGTGCTAAAAAGTCATCTGGTTCTTCCTTCATAAAAAAAGACACAACTGATTTTAATTAGCCACAGATGGTCTTGGGTAACCCCGCTTCTACCAATCATGTAATTGCAGGATTTTCATCAGAAGGATCCAAGGAAATATTTTCTAAGGACTCAGTGCCTGACTGTGACATCACTGCTTGAACCTGTAATTTATTTTGGTTCTCCTCAGCCCAGCTATGAAGCACATTTTCTTTCAGAAGCTGCTCCAATATTTTTCCTGTGGTTTACTGAAGCTTAACTTCTGTCACCATTAAAAACGGTAATCATTTTTCCCCTGTCAGTGACAGCAATTTTATTTTTATGATCTTCCTAAATCCTGTCTCTAAACTTTAAGTAAGTCCAGGCTGATGCTCCACGAAATAGAGAAAGAAAACCATGCCATTCTCATCTCTGGTTTTGATTGGCTTCCTCTACTTATCTGAAGTCTTTTTAAATCACCTACCCTGTCTTATCCTTATGCCTATCCTGTGCAAGCCACTACAGCCACCTGTTTATTTTCTCATTGAAGGTCAATTATTTTTCCTACCAAACAATGAATCTCTGCCACTGGGGACATTTTTTTTGTGTGTGTATAAGTCTACTTGGCTGAGGAGGCTCAGTGAAATACAGACTGGGCTTAAATCATCTTGTTTCAGATGCCACCATAAAAATCTTCTCCAAGCATCTTCCCTGACTTTCTGAAAACAGTTTTTGTTATGTATGCTGATGTGGTCATCTGTCAGTTTTCAACTTCTGTTTTTGTCACCATATCTTCTGAGCTTCTTGGCACGTTCCTTTTCCTTCTTACTTCCCTTAATACACACCTCTGTCTCTCAGTCTCTGCTGAGCCTTGTAGATTTTACCTGCTTCCAATTTAGTGGAAATGACCTAAAAGACTCACTTTTCTTTCACAGTGATGGGCTGCAAACTTGATACATCCCAAATTCCATCAGATACCACAAATAAAGTTTGTGGAGATTTTACCTTAAAAACCAAAGGCAGGAACACTAAATTCAAGCAAATACCTTGAACACATTTCCTTGGAATATCTGTTGTGCCAACTCAAAGACAATATTTTCAGATCTTGGGGACCAAGATGTCCCGGGTATCAAATACTGCTGGTACATACAAATGAAAGAAAGCCTCCCCCTAGAAGTTTGGTTCAAGCATGGAGAAGACTACTGGGGACAATAAGGACATACAGAACATTCACAGGTTTGTTACAAATAGACATGTAAACTTAAGTTCAAGGCTTTAGTTTTGTGCGAGACTTTGTGTTGAGACTTAAATTTAATCTGAAATCTATGAGCAGCTCCTAATCTCATCTGTTGGTTAGGTTACAAATGCCTCAAGGGTTGAGAAAAACAGCCTTCACAGAGTATGGTTATGCTATCAAGAATGTCTTCTAGACATATCTTTTAAATTTACTTTCCTCTTTAGCTTATGACTGGCAAAGTTGTGTCCCTTATTCAGCAGGGACTTTATCCATTAAAGTGACATTGTTCATTAGAAAGCTGATGAATCAGCCCCAGAGAGTCACATTTAGGTAAGTACTCACTGAACTCAATAAAAAATGTATGAGGTGAGGACCTCTATTTATACTTTTCATTATTTGAGGAATATAAAAATACATAGTATTTCAATTCAGTCTAAACAAATTTTAGAACATTATATAATAATATATACAAATGCAAATTAAAAAGAGGTTTCATCACCTGAAAAGTAATGAAATATTTGATAGAATGTTTGCAAAAAAATACTGTTACTTCAATACAAGCAGGATTTATTTTTATAACCTATATATATATATGGAGTTCCAGCTACCTTCAGCATGATTAATTTTGGTGGTAAACGAGAAAAATTGACCTAACCAGAGAAATGAATAATGCTTAACATTCCTCAAAGAGTCTTTTAACTAATATTTAAGAGGCAGATATTTTGAGTAATTGTATGTTAATTAAATATTGATTATTTCAAGAGTCTCTAATTTAAAAGGTAAAGCTATAAGATAAACAGTGTTACTTTATAATTTAAATTTACAGTGGTAATAAATGTGCAATGACACTTTATTTTTATTAGGTAGGATTTGTCTCATTATTCTGCTCTAAATGGTATTAAACATTAAACATACTAGATATTTTTAAACATTGGAGAAACTGGTCTAAACATCTACTATATGCACAGATAGCATTCATCCTGAACATTCAGAATATTTCTTTCAAATTTGATGATGCTGGGATGTTTATTGCCAATTGATTAATTACATCATAATAATAACCCTAACCTATTTTAATTTCACAGGCATGACAGCTTGATTTATCTTCAATATTTCCACTGGATCCTGAAGTCAGGAGTTTTTGTACTAACAATCAATCAATAGTAAAATACTATGTATGAAGTAGAAATATTTACTTTTAAGTGCTGTGAATCAGTTTTTACAGCCACAGAAAAAAATGTTAAATTTTCTATCATTCCTTCAGCTTTTTTAAGCTATAGATTAAGCCACTGGATATTTTTACCACTTTTTGTTTTGGTGGAGAGTCTACAATATATTTGCAATGAAAGATGATGGAAAACATCTGCTTTCCTTAAATATTTCTTGAAACATTGTTCCACATTTTTGTTAGTGCAACATATTTCTGTCAGTTTTCTGCCTATCTGGATCCATTTATCATCAACAAATTCCCAGTGTAGTTTAAGGTAGCAAACGACATTTTGTTCCACAGGTAAAAGGGGGAAATCTAGGCACAGAAAAACATGCAATCCCAAGACATCAATAACTTTAGCAAAAAACAGAGAATAAGAACTTGGAACTACAGACTGTAGATATGAGATAAACTAGGTTCATCTCACTCATAAAAAAACAAAACACAGAATAAACAAGAGGCAGACAAAAGTAACTGAACTAAATGCAGTTTCCCTAAGAAAATGATGTAAGGACATGGTTGTATTTACTTATAAATCACGTGACTTAAAGCTGTGTAAGACCATAGTTGGCTGGTTTGCTATGAAATCTTAAGATAATTATTTTTCTATCTTACCAGTCATTTCTACTGTCAAGCGGATGAGAAACACAAAGAAGACGTTGAAAAAGACATGTGGGGGGGACAAATGTTTGCTTTAGATTCTGTAAAGAACAGACTAGAAACTTCTCAAGAACAACACTGGGGGATTTTTCAGTTTCGTGAAGAGAAATGACAAATATCAGATTCAGTGTAATAGTCCAATACCTGTTTCAGACACATCAGAATCAAAAATGGTCTGAAAAATAATGCATGAAAAGTGTGTTTTTCAGAATCTGGAAAAGGTTCACTGTTGTTGGTTTTATTGGGTTTTTGGGACTCGTTTTGGCTTTTTTTTGTTGGTTTCTTTTTGGTTTTTTTTTTTTTTGTTTTGTTTTTTTGTTTTTCTTGGTTGAGGTTTTTTGGGTTTTTTTTAGGGGAGGAAAGAAGAGATTAGCATTTATTTTAGCTAGAATTACTCTGGTCTGTGAGAGTGGGCAAACAAGGTAACACTGTCCTGATCTGGCATTGTTTCTCACGAAGAACTTGAAGGTTTATCAGTAGGTGAGTAGGCTATACAATATGGCAGAGGAAGAAAATACTGTGAAATGCTGCTTCTTCCCATCGAGTAAGCAGAAATGTCAAGGAAAAGACCCACAAGTCCCTTGCATCTTGTTGGAGAAAGAAACCTACTGTGTTGCCTGAGTGGTGTCTCTGCCCGCAGGTGAACAGGCAGCATGCCCAGCCTGCTCCTCCAGGCTGTCTCAGAGGGATTCGTGGGTTTTGTTCACTTCTGCAAAAGGAATGAGAAACAAAACAAGATTGCAGAGAAGCCTTCTTCACAGCCAGCCTCTAGGAGTTGTCCCTAAGGACTGCCCAAGTCACAGCCTTACAGCTCTGGCCAGGTCTCTTGTGCACTCTCAGGAGCAGGATCATCTGTGCAAGCTGATTCAGTCACTCCTGACTGATTGAATGTGCTCCAATCAAACATATCCCAGCTGTTGAAAGCACAGCTGGATTTCCTGTTAACAGTGCTGTTGCTGCTGTTCTTGCTGCTATTGTTGCTACCATTGCTTGTGAAGGCTGGAATCCTGGTAAACAACTGTGGCTGTAAGTTGCTCTTACACAATTGCTTTCATATCCTGGGGCTGTCCTCTCAGTTGTGTCTGACTGGAGGGAAAAAAAGTGCAGGTTAGTAGAGAGCTGTCCCGTTAAGCCTGTGAACACACAGAGTCTGGCAGACCTCCATGTACTGTCCTTTTGTGTGGGAGCATGTCAGAGGCGATGGCTCTGACAAGTGCATATACATGAATATATACATATATTCATGTATATAGATGTACATACATAAACACACACACGCACACATACACACACACACACATACACACACACATATACACACACACACATCAAAAGCAGATACACAGTCATGAGGGGTGTATGAGCTGCTGGGTTTATCAGGAAGAGATTGTTTGTACATCAAGCACACATCACTGAAATACCACCCAAGTATCGACTTTTTATGTTGCCATTTTAAATACCCCTCCTCAAAGCATATTAAGCTTTCTCTTTATTAGCTTGCTGTAAGCTTCAATGTATTGTTTTCCACCAGCATAGTCTCAAATATTAAGGAGACACTTCCCTGGGCTAGTAACACCTCCAAGAAATTATTGGCAGGAAGCCACATTTGATTGTTTTGTACAATAAATTTAAGTTGAATTAGTGGCCATTCTTTTCACTTATAAATATGAATCACAAATATACATTTTCCCAGGGCATCATAGGGAACATAAATTTATTTCTCTTCAAAAAATTAAAAGAAAAGAAGTCAAAAGCTCAAGTCAGCAGTCAGATTGAGAGTTTGTTAGAACGAACAACGGAGCAAAGGTGAATTTTGGAAGGTTTTATAATGTCATCAGAGTTGCCCTGAAAATCTTACTTCAGAAGAGAGGGCAGCGGTTTTTTTTTAAGTAATTCATATATATAGCTGCTAGTGGAATTATCTATAAATGTCCAGTGTACATATGTAAAATATGACTAATCTTCAAGGCTATGAGCAACAAAGGCAGGGGAAATAGTACTGCACAAAGAAACAAATAGCACCCACTAATGCAGATTGAATTTTAATAATTGGGGTGGTTAATAGATGCTGTTTGGTGTCATTCCAGGCTGGATTTTTATAGACTTGTCCCAACTGGAATTCTCTGCTGCTTGCATTACCAGGAGAAAATTGCACATTTCATTGTTCCCAGCTCTCTACCATTTTCCAGACTCAGAAATTCAAAGCCTTTGTGTTTGAATCCATAATGGCAGTCCAAAAACAGCATTGCCAAGCAAGACAACCACTCAGTCAACCGGGAATTTGTCAATTTCAAGACTTCACCAGTTTTCCACCATTTTAAATCAATGTCTTTGATGTTACTAATTCTTGTCTACTCCAAGGATCCTAAGACATGCTAAAGCTTTACTAAGACATGGACTATGAATACCAAAGAGGAGCACATGTCATCTATTGGGGACATTTACAGCATTAAAACAATTTTTTCCCTTACTGTTGATGATATTCACTGGCCAGTCCTGTGAATACATTGTACTGTCCTGCATGACAGAGAATCCAGCTCTCCTTGTAACTGAAGCTTTAGTGTTCATCCTTCATTTAGTAAGTTTATACTACTTACATAGTTAATATTACTCAGATTCTATGCATCTCTAAGCATATCCATGAAAGTTGTTTTGCTTTTTGGAAGCTCATAAAGTTGTTTGTTTTTTGTTTTTTGTTTTTATTAGGCACTTTTTAAATGCAACCTCTCATCATATATTTTCTTCTCCAATTAATTTCTTCTCCAAAAAAATTCTGAAAGGAAGGATGAATTCTGCAAGAAAAAATGTTCATGTTGGTTATGGACAGAACAAATTAACAGTATTGGTCTTTATTCAGGAAGATGCTGAATGTCTTTGGACAGAATCAATAAAACACATCAAATTATATACAACTTGGAGTGTAGGAACAGACAGTATGATTTCCAGCTACTGGTAGTATCTAACTACCTTAGATACTTTAACCTGAACATATAAGGGCCTTGCACTACCTAGGCCAAACAGGTCAGCCTCTTTAAGGACAGAAGTGACAGTGGCAAAAAAGAATTGCAAACCACACCTAGGCTGACTGTGGGACCTTTTCTGCTGTTCAAGTTCATGGAGAGGTGAGGTACTTACACTATTAAGGATTATGTTCCTACAGAAGAAATATTGATATTGGTTATTGCAATATTGGTTATTGCAAATGTGATGTTGCAATTCCAAGACTTTCAAGGGGATAAAAAGAAAAGCCGGTGACAAAAATGGTAACTTATGCAGCACATAAAATGTAAGTGTATCAAAAGAAGCCCTCTTAAAAAACAGTAGGGATAAATTGCACTTAGATGCAGAAATGCTTTTCCAAATGAAATTTAAAGAATTTTATATATTTATACATCTCTCTCTCTTTATCTCCCTCTCTCCCTCTCTGTCTTTCTATATATATATTTACACCTGAGGGAGAAACCTGGCCCTTTCACATCCATGTTTGGGAACATGTTAAAAAATCCTCCTGAAAAAACGAAACTATCTCATTTCTGGAAAATGTGTTAGTTTTGTAGGATATAAAAATAAATTGCCTATTGCAATTATACTCTCCCTGGCTGCAAAACCTTTAAAATGCAATGGTCCAGGAGACAGCTCAGAGCAGAAAGCAGTCTTTTAAGAAAATTTTGAAATCAACAAGGATGAAAGAAAGACATAAAACACCGTAATTTTTGGTATCAAGTTTAGAATATAAAGTGTGTATAATTCTGAGAAATGCTAGCAAAAATATAATTTAAAAAAATAAGACTTAAAACCTTTAATAATTCTGGACTGCTTCCATTTTTACAATTAATAACAGAATATATTCATATTTCAATTTTATAAATGCAGAATATTACAAAATTCCTTGGTGTCACTTGGAATCAAATTAAATGTTGATTACTTAGATTTACATTGATAGCACAAATTTATTTGTATCTGGTAACAAAAATTATTTTTACTTCCAATTGGCCAATACTTGAGATAGGCAAGGCTTACAGTCCTTTGCAGACATGCCACTATGTGAAATATGTGGAAACTGGCCATTGCATGCCATTCTGTTTAAATGCATTAGGCTTGGGTGCATCTCCATGCTATTATAAGAACAATAACATGACAAAGTGTAACTTGTATTCAGTTTTTCCCTGGAGAGCTCAAGTTTAACCGGCTAACATCTGTTGATGTGACCTATTCTTCGCTTTTTAGACAGATATTGTGTTGCTGTATTTTTAAAATCAGATCCTTTTGATCTTTTCTCTCTCTGC